GTCCTTTAGGTCCCCAGACCCAACATTAATTAAATGGCACTGTTTTTACTCAGAGAATTTAAGTACATTTACAGCAACAAACAGCTGTACAGATGAGGTGCAAGGGCAGGCAGCAGACCTGCATAGAGCTGCTTAGGCAGGGGCTTTTTGGCCCATGCTGAAAGGCCAAGCTTCAGGGCCCACGCTGAGAGGTGGGACTGGCTCCTGGGCACACCTCAGCTCCACCGTGGCTGCTTCTAGTGGCCCAGGTGGGTGCCCAAGACTCCCAGCCTCCAACTGAAGCTCCCAGGCTGGTGCTGATAGGCAGGCCCAGATATTTGGGGCTCAGGCATGTCCCTGGTTCCTGTGATAGGCAGCAGGTAAATGGTGGCCACAGGAAGGAATCAATCCAATTCAACTTCCCAACTCCACTAATTGCTATTCAAGCTTAGGTAGCCAGAGCCCAGAGGTGAATTTAAAAGGACAAAGACCCAAACTGAGGAGCTACACAGAGCAAAAGCAAGGAATTTCAAATAGAAATTTCCTGATCATTAGGACCCAAACTCAGAAAACCACCCCAGAGCCAATAGAATCCAAAGCTAAGAGTTTCTTAGTAAACATTTAAACCTTAAAATTTGACCCAATTGTTCTCATTTTAGAGACAAGGCCTGAGGCTGGTTGGGTGGGACAAACCCTCTCATTTGCCAGCATGGTTACCATGGCTGAGGCCCACCATTGCTAGCATGATTCCTGGGCCACATGGCTGCCTGACTGGGGAATTATAAAGGGATCAGAGAGAGGGGAGACAGAAGGGGGAAGGGTCCAGCACGTAAGGCGGCTGAATGGAAGAGGCACCAGATGCCAAGGATAATAACTTAAGACCTAACGTAAGGCCTCATGGGAAGTCTTGACTGCCCTCTCCACCCAGGCCAGATGGCAAACTTGTGCCCTGTGGCACTGGCCACCTCTGTAATTCTACCCTTGCTGGCTGCGTGTCCATGAGGATGCAGCCACAGAGGCTTGTGAGTGTGTGTAGGCCCCATGCCTCATGCCACATGGGGCTGGATTAATAAAGTACATCCCAGTCTCCCAGCAGCATGCTTGGGGTAGATGCTGATGTATAAGGGGACAGGGCCAGAAGAGGACAGGGCGGAATGGCTGAGAAGAAAACAAATCAATAAACATAGCATTTTATCTTTTTAAACTCTGACTGGCTTGCCAAAAATGTTAACAGCGCTGGTGAAGTCTATGATCAGAGGACTTCTAAATTCTTTGTACCCCACCAGAAAGAATCCATGGCAGGACACATGGGTGTGAAGTGAATTAATTAAAAATAAGAGAAGAGAAATACAAAGGGAAGCATGGTAGGGTCCAGGTAGAGCAGGAACCAGTAAATTACTCAATGTCTCTCTTAACAAGGACCCAAACTCAGAAAATCAAGAGAGCATTGTGTACTTTTAAAACCTATGATAACCTAGTTGAAGGGGAGAACCAGGTGACTCTCATCCAATAATCAATGAGTGGGGTGGGGCATGGGTGGTTCCCAACCAGGTGAGTGTGGTTCCTGAGCCAAAGAAATAATATTTTTTTCTATGAGTCCTGAACTTTCCCTACAGCCTGCCTCCCTTCCTCTGCCTAACTCAGGAAGAACTGTATATTGCATTGGACTCTTTCTTACCAATTCTCTTCCTGGTATGGCAAACTACACAAAAAAATGTGAACATTTGTCATAGAGGCATTTAAAAATTTTAGTCACTAGCAGACTGTAAAAAAGAAACCTTTTCAAGTTAAAACACAAAAAATAAAATTTAGTCAGACACTGTAAAAGGAATAACAAATCCTAAGGACTGTAGAGTGTATGATGAGGATCCACTCCTCATCATAAGGGTGGCACTCCTGTGACAAAGACAGTTGATCAAGACAAAAGCATAATGGATTTATTTAATCAAAGTTTATGCAACACAAGAGATTGTGGAAACTAAGAACCAAAGGTCCAGGGAAAGCTGTCCATTTTTATGCTTAGAATTGATGAAGAATGGACAGCTAAGTAGAACTGTGATTGGACAAAGGGCATGACCTAATGGTAATAAGCTAACTCATGAAAACCAACAAGGCATGTTTGTTCTGAATGTTCCTGACCTCTCTGTGTGGCATTTCTTCATCTCTGGTGTAGAGCAGGACTCCTTCTGTAATGAGGGTCTTATGAACTATTCTCAGACAAAGTAGGTCAGAGAATTTCTGAACTATTCTCAGACAAAGTAGGTCAAAGAATTTCTGTATAAGCCAGTTCCCCCACAGAAACACGGAGGAAGGTTAGAGTGATGTTTCTAGATTTTATCACTGTCTTTTGGGGAAAAGGGATCAAGTTTCTATGATCCAATTTGAGGAAGAGGAATTTTGAGTTTCTACGGTCTGCTATGGGGGAGAAAGAGAAGCAAGGGAAAGAAGAGCAAGACAGAGCCAAAAAGACTCTGCTTCTGAGGCTCCTCCAATGGCCTTAATTCAAAGTACTCAGCATGCCAAAGTGCTTTACTTTGGGGCATTGTCTTCTGTTTTCTGGTAGATTAGATAGAGAGAGAGAGAGAGAGAGAGAGAGAGAGGACTGGGGTTTAATCTCAGGGCTTTGCAAAACAGGTGCTCTACTGTTTGTACCACATTGCCAATCCATTCTGCTCTGCTTATTTTGGAGATGGGAGTCTCTCCAACTATCTCATGGGCTAGCCTCAAACTGAGATCCTCATGATCTCAGCCTCACAAGTAACTAGGGTTACAGACACGAGTCACGGGTGAACAGCTGTGTTGGATCTTGAACCTAGGGCCTTGTATGCACTAGGTGAGTGCTCTATCACTAAAGTACACCTCTAGCCTTGGGCTATCATTTTCTGAGCTCCAACATTAGCAAAGACATTTATAAGAACACCACTTTAAATTCATACCAGGCATAGTGACATATGCCTATAATTTCAGACCTTGGGTGGTTAAGGCAAAAGATCTGGATCCAAGTCCAAAATGGGGTACACAGAGAGGTTAAGTCCAGCCTTTTTCAAAAAGAAAATTTATTAGAATCCTGTTTAGTTGAACATATAACTTTACATTGCTGCATTTGTAGACATTATATTGAAGCAATAAGAATTTGCTGCATCTGTAACTGTCACCAGAAAATTAGGAAATTCAAATCTTCACTGGGCTAAGGTTTGCTCAAAAGCCAACCTTGAGGAGGAGAGTTGGTAGGGAGGAGTCAGGTTTACTCAACTGGCAATACCTTGGAAAATGGAGGGGCCATTATAATCAGGACATTAGCACAAGCAGATCAACTCAGTTTGATTCCTCCAACAGGCCCACCACAGTTGCCTGAAGCAAGAAGACCTTGCTGATACCCCTACTTAACCCCCTTAAGTGACCTTGACACCCCTGTTCACCAGGAAGTAGAAACAGGATCATCAGTGCCCTATTCCCATATATATGGAGGGGGTGGAGTGTCAGGCCTGCCCATGAAGCCTTAAGTTAGTCCTTAAGTTTTATATATATGTATCTCAAAAGGCTGGAATGTTAAGGTGAACAAAAGGAAGCCATGTTTGAAGTTGGCCCCCTCCCCCTTGAAGGTGACTTACTGGAAACTCCCCACCTGGCTTAGAAGAAATGACCTACCCTTAAGCCACTATCTCTGGAGAAACAGAAAGATATTGAGGATTGTCCCACCCAGTGACCTTCCTGGGACTTCTCCACCCAATGCATATATGTACTCCCAGACCATAAGCTGCTGTGGACTCCAACATACTTGCTGGGATTTCTCTCTACAGGACCACTTCTCCCCAATAAACCCTGTGCTGGTGTTCAAGCCATCTCCCTGCCTATCTATTCTGCACCTCTTTCACTCTAACAGAAAGACAGTTGAAAATTGATTGAAGTATTCCTTATACTGTAAACTTTGTTCCTTTTCAACATTTACATCATACATATGAATGTATTGTCAATTCCCAAAATTGAAAAAATTAATGTGAAAAAATATTCACCCCACACAACCACTTGAAGAAGTCCTCACCTATGTACAAAAGGGGAAAATACAATATGACTTACAAGGGTGAAAAGCTAGAAATAAGCAAAATCCTTACCTACTCTACACCAGGAGGATCATGGCTCAAAGCCAGCCCACCAAAAGTTTGTGAGACCATATCTGGAAAACACTGGTGGAGTGGTTCGAGTATAGAATCGCCTCCCTGTTAAGTGTTAGGCTCTAAACCCCAGCACTGCCAAAAAAACAGAACATGTTGAGTACAAAAAGATTATAACATAGAATGCACTGTTAGCAATCAATAAGTAAAATTTAGAAAACACACTAAGTAAAAGTACAAAATGGACTAGAAAGATACCACACTGATAATGTAACTTGCTTCCATGGAAGGCAAGATTGGGTTGGGTGGGGTGCAGTCTCCTCCATACAGTAATATTTCATTTCTTCAAAACAACTACAAAAAAACCACATGAAACAAATAAGATAAAATTTTTAGTTCTGAGTGACAAAATACAGATACTTGTTATTTTATTCTTTGTGTTTTTTGGTATCTTAAACAATTTTGGAAATTAAAAGTGAAGTACGCATATCCAACCAAAGCTGTCCACATGGATCCTTTTATTGTCTTTTTAAAAGTAAAATCGACTCTAAGCAATCAACCTTGGCATTATCAATAAGAATTCCTTTAAAAATATAAAATTTTATGTTGTAGATTGAGGCTTAAACTACTTGGAAGCTGGTTTCTCAGGTAATACTTCAGATGACACGACAGGATGGAAACATTGGCACAGAGAACACAGGAAGGGACTCTGATGCTTACTAGAGCCTGATTCCTGTGTACACCCATTTGTCACCCCTGGCCTCTCAGCTTCCCCAATTTCACCTGCCTCAGGGCACATGTCATTTTCTGGTGACTCTTTGCTTTTTTCAGGAAGATAGAACATTCTGTAGGCAGAGCTTTTGGACACCTCTTTTAAAACCTGACTCTCCATGCTGACCTGATCAATTTGGTTCCAAACAACTAGCCAGGATGGTACCTGGAGGCTTGAGTGAGGCAAGACCTGCCACTCCAGAAATCCAGGAGATTGCTGACAGGGTGAGTATCAGGAAAACATTTGCTCCAAAATCTCAGTTCATAGTTTGGCACTGTGTTAAGGGTGTGGGTAAATATGAAAACCAGAGCACTAGGGAATGTGGTTTTGTTCAGGTTTTTGGAAGGCTAAAAATGGAATATGGACCCTTTCAGATGAAATCTCAAATAATCCCAACACTGAAAGAGTGACCTTGTCCAAGTCACATAGCTTGCTGGAGCCTCAGTTTCCCCATTTGTTAAGAAGAATGTGGATTGGATCATCTCTAAAGCTTTTACTTAAATGTGTGATTCTAGGAGTATTAATCCAGTTACTCATGGAGTTTTTCCAGTCTCATTAAGTGAAGCCAATATGTAGTGAAAGTCTAAGGCTGTTAACAATTTGATGAAATAGAATTTGCATGGCAGGATTTTTTTTTCTTTTTTCAAATGGGTTGAATGCAGAACAATATTGTAAAGATGATCAATTTCAAACTTCCTTCACATTTGCCTAAATGTCATTTAGTAGTTAATGATTAAATTAGTAAAGAAAAGAAGTCATATAGCCTATGGTGATTGTGGGATGTTACAGGCTGCCAAACTGATAACAGTAGAATAGAACTCTCATGTTCTTAGCAAGGGATAGTTTTCAAAGTGCTTGATTAGGTATCACCTGTATAATGAAAATTTACTATATTGCATATTTTATTTTATGTCTTTTCTTTTTTTGGTGCTGGGGATCAAACCCAGGGACTCACTCATGGTACCATGCTAGGCAAGTGCTCTACCTCTCTGCTACATCCCAGCCCATGTATTGTAATTTGTAAAAGAAAAATACATATAAATTAAGGCTGTTGGTTTATAATTTGATGCCTCATGTTCTTATATTATTCTTTCTTGCTTTTTCTTTCTGAAATGTTTTTATGACACTGTTTGGCAAACCAGATCAACTTTTTCTGTGGGTGGAAGAGATGGAGCCCTTTAAGTTTAGGGCACTGAATGTTCTCAGGGGTCAGATACATGAAATTCTACCACACATCTTTTAGAGCTAAATATTTCTCTTTCAGAAATTTGTCTGGTTTTAATAGATACTTTTAGCTTTATATTCTTGGAGAAGATAATATTAAGTCATTAATACCTTCACTCGAATCCCCATGTCAGATGGATATTGTCAAGCTTGATTGTGCATGTAGTCACAAGTTTTGTTTTGTTTTTTTAGGAGAGTGGTTGATAGTTCACTCTTTTTGTTTGTTTGGTTGGTTGGTTTTGGTGGTACTGAGGCTTGAACTCAGGGCTTCACGATTATAAGCAGGCACTATACCAATTAAGCCACTGCACCAGGCCATCACGTACCAGTCTTGATAAAATGCAAACTGTGACTCAGGAGGGCTGAATGGGCCTGAGATTCCATGTCTCTTCCAGGCTCCTAGCTGCAGCCACTCCTACCCATGACCTCTCTTGCCCATAAGACCAGAGACATATGATACCCTGGGAGGCCTGGGGAAGATGGGCATTTGTTTGTATGTTTATTTAATGCATTTATTTAGCAGTACTAGGGACTGAACCCAGGGCCCAGCAAGCAGTCTACCCTCAAACAACATGCCCAGCCCCAAATATGACTTTTAAAAGAAGCTGCCAAATAAAAGTTCCCAATTCATTGGTAAGAAGAAGATAACACCTCTTGCCCCAGCAGTCTCAGAGCTGGAAAGGCTATCAGAAATAACATGCATAAAAACGACCAGAAACAAATATGACTGGGTTGGGCCTTATTATTATTACTTCAAACTTTTTGCCAGAAATCATCCCTGGCCAGGGATCCCCACTAAACCAAACCAAAACAAGAAACCCTGGGAATCTCTAGGGAACAAGGGAACAGCAGAGATTTGAAATACCAAAGGTTCAGATTTTGGTGATCTTTTTAAAAGCCTATCACCTGGTTAGATACAATCATTTATTTTTTGGAATAGGGTCTGATGATGTTGCTCATGCTAGTCTCTAAGTCTTGGGCTCAAATGATCCTCCCACCTCAGCCTCCCCAGTAGCTGGGACTACAGGTGCACCCTATAGCACCTACACAGAATACCAGAAGGCCTTCCATTATTAATAACACCATCTGTGAGCCATATCTTTTTCTTTTTTGGTGGTACTAGGCTTTGAACTCAGGGCCTCATATTTGATGGGCAGGTGCTCTACCACTTGAGCCACTCCACTAACACTTTTTTGTGGGTAGTATTTTTGAGATAAGGTCTCTTTCACTATTTGCCCAGGTTGGCTAAGAACCACGATACTCCTGATCTCTGTCTCCTGAGTAGCTGGATTACAGACAATCCCAAGGGATAGACATTATTATTATTATTATTATTATTATTATTATTAATTGTTATAATTTTGGCAGCACTAGGGTTTGAACTCAGGTCCTCACACTTGCTAGGCAGGCACTCCTACTGCTTGAGCCACTCCACCAGTCTTCTTTTTGTGATAGGTTTTTCAAGATAAGGTCTCTGGAACTATTTGTCTGGGGTTGTTTTCAAACCCTGACCTTTCTGATCTCTGCCTCCTGAGTAACTAGGATTACAGGCATGAGCCACTGGCCAGTGACACAGATACTATTTAAAGTCCTTGATAAGTTGGAAAATAAAATCAACTCTTCAGTGAAGAGAACATACTGGTAATCACATACCTAGTATCATTTGAGTGGGGGGCTGTCCCAGGGAAGACCTTTACTACCTGTCATTTACTTTACAGTGTTATTTTTAATTTTTTTGGTTATGGGGGGAGGTACTGGGATTTGAACTTAGGTCCTAAACTTTAAGCCACTTCACCAGACCTTTTTTTGTGAAGTATTTTTTTTGAGATAGAATCTCACAAACTGCTTGCCAGGTCTGGCCTCAAAACTCCTCCAGATTTCAGCCTCCCAAGTAACTAGGATTACAGGCCTGAGCCACTGGGACCAGCTATATTTTTTGCAGCTTTAAGTGTGAAATTATTTCAAAACAATTTTTAAAAATTTATGTAGTAACTTCTGCTCTCCTGCTTTTTACTAATCAAAGATGTATGTGACTATTGGAGTGTTACCAATCAAAATGTGTGTGTATCTGACATTAATTCACCCTAAAGCCACACAGGTAATGCTTTAACCTATGTCATCTTTTTTTCTCTTTTTTTGTGGTACTGGGATTTGAACTCAGGGTTTCACACTTGCTAGGCAGGTGCTCTACTGCTTGAGCCACTCCAGTCCTGATATCACCTTCTTTTTTTTGATGGCAAAGATTTGAACTCAGGGCTTCGTGCTTCAAAGCACACACTCGACCACTTGAGCCATGTCTCCAGTACCAATGTCACTTTTTTTTTTTAATCTTTTTTTTTTATTTTATTGTTTTATTATTCATATGTGCATTCAAGGCTTGGGTCATTTCTCCCCCCTGCGCCCACCCCCTCCCTTACCACCCACTCCACCCCCTCCTTCTCCCCCCAACCCCCTCAATACCCAGCAGAAACTATTTTGCCCTTATCTCTAATTTTGTTGAAGAGAGAGTATAAGCAATAATAGGAAGGAACAAGGGTTTTTGCTGGTTGAGATAAGGATAGCTATACAGGGAGTTGACTCACATTGATTTCCTGTGCATGTGTGTTACCTTCTAGGTTAATTCTTTTTGATCTAACCTTTTCTCTAGTTCCTGTTCCCCTTTTCCTATTGGCCTCAGTTGCTTTTAAGGTATCTGCTTTAGTTTCTCTGCGTTAGGTGTCTTACCTATCCTCACCCCTCCCTTGCGTGCTCTCGTTTTGATGATGTGCTCAAAGTCCAATCCCCTTGTTGGGTTTGCCCTTGATCTAATGTCCGCATATGAGGGAGAACATATGATTTTTGGTCTTTTGGGCCAGGCTAACCTCACTCAGAATGATGTTCTCCAATTCCATCCATTTACCAGCGAATGATAACATTTTGTTCTTCTTCATGGCTGCATAAAATTCCATTGTGTATAGATACCACACTTTCTTAATCCATTTGTCAGTGGTGGGGCATCTTGGCTGTTTCCATAACTTGGCTATTGTGAATAGTACTGCAATAAACATGGGTATGCAGGTGCCTCTGGAGTAACCTGTGTCACAGTCTTTTGGGTATATCCCCAAGAGTGGTATTGCTGGATCAAATGGTAGATCAATGTTTAGCTTTTTAAGTAGCCTCCAATTTTTTTCCCAGAGTGGTTGTACTAGTTTACATTCCCACCAACAGTGTAAGAGGGTTGCTTTTTCCCCGCATCCTCACCAACACCTATTGTTGGTGGTGTTGCTAATGATGGCTATTCTAACAGGGGTGAGGTGGAATCTTAGTGTGGTTTTAATTTGCATTTCCTTTATTGCTAGAGATGGTGAGCATTTCCAATGTCACCTTAAAGATAGGTGTTTCTTATTGAAATACTAATTTTCTACTAAAAAATAGGTCTTAGATCTCATTATCAGTCTCAAGAACTTTTAGGAATATGAAAGTCACAGATTTGTAAATCAGAATCCAATATAGCTTTTTAAATTATTAATGAAATTTTTATGACTGTATTTTACAAGAAGGTTTCATTGTAATATTTCCACATGTGCACAAATGCAACTTTAATAATTTGTTTCCTCTTTTCCTTTTTCAAGATTAAGCCACAGCTTGAAGAAAAAACAAATGAGACCTACCAAGAATTTAAAGCTGTACAATACAAAAGTCAAGTAGTTGCTGGTGCTAATTATTTTATTAAGGTTAGCCCTCAAATATATTTCTCATTTAATATAATGTTTCTTGTTTCCCCTGCCATATGCTTTGTTCCTTCTGTTTGTCCTAAATTAAGATGCTGGCATGATAGCTTTCAAGTGCTAGATTCTCAAATTTGGCAAATGGTGTTATAGTTATACTGCTTTTTTTTCTTATGAGTTTAGAAAGCTTTCATTATTTTATTTTTGGTTGTGGTACTGGGGTTTGTCTCAGGGACTCACTCTTAATAGGCAGGTTCTCTGCCACTTAAGCCCTTATTCCCATCCCAAAACTTTACTTCTCTCTCTTTCTCTCTTTTCTCACCCTCTCTCTCCTCTCACTCTCTCTCCCACTTCCTTCCTTCTCTTTTTTCTTCTTTCTTTTTCTTTCTTCCTTTGCTTTCTTTCTGTCCTCTTTCTTCTTTCTTTCCTTCCATCCTTCCTTCTTTCTGTATTTATTTTCTTTCTCTCCTTCTTACTTTTCTTTTTCTTTCTCTGCTTCTTTCCTTCAGTCCTACCTTAATTACTTCTTTCTTTCTTTCCTTCTTCCCTTTCATTCCCTCTCCTTCCAGGTGACAATTATGATTTTTTAAAATAATACTATATATTTGAGTGTATTTGCCAACTATTAATCATTTGGCTGGGAAACAATGTGACTTATTTCTCTGTAAAAAATAATTAACTACTTACGATATAAATTTCTGAAATGTGTTCAGTATAAAATAAAATAAGTGGAGCTAGCCCACTCAGTGTGAGAGAGGTAGGTGGAACAGTCCAATCTCACCAAATTTGAGCACCTGGGCCAGGTCACATACATGAATGAGACCTTGAGATGTCTTCAGAAGAAAATGGCATCATTTTCTACTTTCACATCTTTCTTCACAGCTGAAAAGAAAGTTGTCCAGTTAAAACAATTTTGTTCAGAGATAGGAAACATTGCATTAAACTGGATCATTTTAATAATTTATGATTAATCCAAGTGCATAGATTTCACATATTAACTACCTCACAATTACTTAAAATTCTCATTAGAAATCGAAATTTACTCCCTTGACCACTCTGTTGCACTGTCCTATGGAGTACCCACTCCTGTTTTCTTCTGCCCTCAACATCCTGTTTGGTTTCAACCACTGACCCCAGTTGCCTCCTTACTTCATGCAGTCTGGCTATCAATTCCTTTGCTCTGAGTCACTCTCTAGATTTAAGGTCTTGTTAGTGATATGACTTTCCCTATGTGTCCTGAGTACCTATCAAGAGATAGGACAGGTAGAATGGAAGGATCATAGGCTCTAGTGTCTGAGCATCTTGGGTTAGAATCTCTAGTCAAAACTTGTATATTCATAGGTTCTCCTCCTCTGCCTTAATCCTCTAACATGCATAATGAGAATAATAATCTACTGAACACTTAGAATGTGCCAGGGACTCTTCTCAGAATTGGCCATATCCCTTCTCATTTAATAGTCACAAAAATTTATGAAATAAACACATGCCACTTCTATTGTGCTAGTAATGAGAAAATTGAGCCCTGGGAAGATGAAGTAACTAACAAAGGTCACACAACTGTAAAAGACCCAGGATTTGGATCCAGAGCACTGGCTGTGCTGCTTCTAGTGATGTTTTTAATGGATGATGCCCTGCTCCAAGTACAAATAAGTACTTTCAAAAGCTACATCCAACGAGCTTAGATGTTGAGTCAGGCACAATGCCACACACCTGAAATCTCAGCACTGGGTAGACTGAGACAGGATGATTGCCAGCTGGACGCTAGACCAGGCTACATATCAAGCGCCTGTCTCTAAATAAATAAGTAAATAAATAAATAAAATATGGATGTCAGAATGTCAGAATCTAAAAGATCTGGGTTTGAAGTTTAGCTCTGCCATTTACCTGGTGAGAGATTAATGGAAAGTTATATAATCTTTATTGATCTGCTTCTGAATATTTAAAATGGATATTGTTTCATCTTTCTTTAGGTCTATAATAAGAAATCAATATGATCATGTGTATAAATGTATCACAGTACGTATAAAATGTATCCTTCTATCATAAATTATAGCAAACTTTGATAAATAGCATTGGTTACACTCAAGGGACAACAGAGAACAATAAATACCACATGAAACAAGGCCTTTATTGTCCCCACCAAGAACCAAAGCAGAAATTCTTTCAGTGATTTTTCCAGGTTCTGGATTCATGATCAAACTACTATTCCTTCAGTAACAATGACTCCAAGACCCCTTTACAGGGAGGCAGGTCTCACCGTGCCCTGCTCAGTCCTCACATGCTCAATGGGCACTTGTGAAGTAGGTTCCAATGTAGTGTAGATTTGAAACATAACCCAGATTTTCTAAAGCAATTCTGATTTTCTTCTCACTTATCTCCCTGTATGGCAAATAGATTATTCCTACTTGGATGTCAGAAAACAGAATCACCAAAAATATAGACTGCTATCAACAGTTATGCTCTGGGCTTCTGCAAAATGAAATGTGACTCTGGATTGTCATTTGTGCCCAGATCATAGTAAAAAATGATAAGCCTAGGACGTATGCTTCTTGCCATGCCATGAGCCTGCACTTTCTTTCATAAAACAAGATGGTGGGTGTTTGCAAGATGAGTCTTCACTAAGTCTAGAAGTGCTGACTCAGAAGGACTTATGCAGTGAAGTCTGTACAAGCCTGTAGATCTTTCACTTGATGTACATCCAAATGAACAAATCTCCTTTTTCTTTCTTTTAATACCTTTCAGATATGAGTAGGTAATGGTCCTTATATTCATGTGAGAGTATTCAGAGGTCTTCGTGGACAAAATGATTTGGAACTTACTGCCTACGAAACAGACAAATGTGAACATGACGAGCTGTCTGCCTAATGGCTCATCTTCACAGCAATCTGATTCTTCATAGTACTGGCTACTGATTAGCAATCCTTCTTAATAGAGACAGTCATCAATAAAGCATCATTCCTCTTCAAATATATCATTTCTTCAATTATTTCTCATTTATATCAAATAGAAATCATTTATTCATTCTCAAAATCAGTGTTACTGCTTTAGAGTAACAATTCCAGACAAACTGATGTCCGTTGGAAACATTGTAAAAACAAGTCACTCCTGATGCAATTGGATGATAGGATAGTCCCTCCCCCAGCACCACAGACAGGCTCGATCATGATCTAGTCAGTGAATCAACCTCCTGTTCCCTGTGGTTCCCCAGTGCCCAACATTCCGCCTCCACCCTCATATTCGAAAACTAACTCAGGCATTTTACAATACCTATGGTGGTGCTAGGACTTTTATTCAGGCTATGTGCATGCTAGGCAGGCCTTCTACTGCTTGAATCATGTCTCTAGTTCTATATTTTTATTTTGAAACAATCTTAAACTTACAGAAAAGCTGAAAAAAAAAACCTTTTATCCCAGATGTTTGAGAATCGTCTACCTACAATGATTCCCCACAGCAAAAAATACTTACTAGTACAAATACTTGTCTGTGTTTCTCACAAACAAGGTTATTCTCCTGTATAAGTGAAGTAGTACCATCAAAATCCAGAAATTAACACTGATGCCCAGCTAGCATCTAGGTCCCACACATCATTCAACTTTCCCCAGTTGTAAGCTTCCTCTGTGTAACACTGAATAAGAAGAGTCAGAGTAGCAGGGTAGTCTTTGGACTATATTCCAAAGACAGAAAGAAGAACAGCATCAGGAATCATGAAAGAGGTGACAGGATAGCTGAAAAACAAAACAAAAAAACACAAAAAGCAGAGAAACAGAAAGGCTACACAACAAAAGGTAGGAGTCCAACTTGGCTCCAAGACGGGAAGGGAAAACCAAAATCACAACCATGAGGTAAGCCAGCCAGCCCTGGGGAAAACAGACTGGCAGTCCAAGCTGGAGAATAAGATCACAGAACTAACAGGTCTTAAATTCAGAATGGAGATTTGGTGTGACAGTGACTTCTGCATGACAGGCCAGCCTTGGAGAAGGAAACCATTTTATTACTACCCATAACTCAGAGTGCTATACCTGGGTACTGTCTTAAGATGGCATCTATTTGAGACTAAGGTACTTGGGGACCTGAAAATAAGAAACAATTGCAAGTCATGGAGCCTACAGACAACCCTGCCACAGAATTCAGCTGGGACTCAGGCAGTAGAGGGTGAGAGAGGGTGGACTGTATGAAGTCTGGGCAGTGAGAGCACAAGCTGTGAAAGGCAAGAGGGTCAGTGGATCCACCCTCTGTGGCAAAGGGTGACAGAGGATCACCCAGTAGACAGAATTCCAAGCCCAAACCTGAGTCCATAACCAATAGATTCACTGGCATCCATGATGCCTCCCTGCTGTGTGTAGTTTACTGCAAAAGGGGACTGAGAGTTTAAACCACAAGTCCAGCAGATCATTCTATTTTTCTAGCATTCCCTCTCCCACAGGGTGATTTACCCCTGGTGAGATCTGACAGAGCTGAGACCCATAGGTAAAAAACAGGATCCCTTGGTTCTTCCCCTCCAGTGTACTCTCAGGGGTCTGTTTAGTCCCTCCACTCTCACATGCACTTAGTGGACTTCCCGTACAAAGTTTTGTTGTTTGCTGATGTGGGGTACACAAACTGGGGGATCTAGAGTGATAGAAAAGCTGCCAAGTCCACAAGCAACAAAGACTTTTAGGACCAGAAGTTGTTCGGGGTATGCAAAGAAGGGAAGCTTTAACGTGAATGCACCCATGAAGCTGTCAACAGACCCTTGACCAGCTTGATTCTAATACACGTACAGCACCAGCCTGAACAGTGTTGTTAATGTTGCAGAAGTTTGTTTTCTCCTCTCTGAGTGGTACTGAGGATTGAGTCCTCAAAACAAGTTTCTGGAATAAAGCCAGAAGAGATATTCATACCAACAGACACCCAAATCACAACCTAGAACCACAAGAAATGAAAAAGTAAAGGAATATGGCTTCTCCAAAAGCTCTTAACTCTTCAGTTATGAATCCAAAGATAATTAAATGGCACAAATGCAAAAGAATTCAAAAGTCTACTTTAAAAAATGATCAGTGACTTCAAACATGATTCAAACAAAAATATGAATGAAGTAAGGAAGTAATTCAAGACCTGGTGGGGTCTGGCAGAGTGGCTTCAATGGTAAAGCACCTGCCTAGCAAGTGGAAGGTCCTGAGTTCAATCCACAATCTGACCAAATTAAAAAAAGAAAAAAAATCTAGATGAGAAAGTTAGCAGCATTGCCCAGAAATTCAACAAGGAAATCAAGATTCAAAAACAAAAATGCAAAAGAATAGAAATGTTGTAAATGGAAACCTCAATTAATCAAATAAAAAACACAATGGAAAGCATCACCAATAGACTACAAGAGGAGATTAAAGAGAGCTCGCAGAGTGGCTCAGGTGCTAGAGTGCCTGCCTAGCAAGTGTGAGGCCCTGAGTTCAAACACCAATACCGCAAAACAAAGAAAAGAGAGAGAAAATTCACAGGGTGGAAGAAGGAGCTGAGATACAAATGAAAGGTACAAAGTTGAGTAAATGAAATTATAGCATAGAGTTCTTCAAAGCTAGGAAAAGGTATAGTAATCCAAGCAGGGCAGGCACTTAGAACCCCATATAGACATGACCAGAAAAGAACCTCTCCACATTACATTGTAGTTAAAATGCCAAGATTATAGAACAAAAAAAGAATATTAAAAACGCAAAAGAATAATGCCAACTTACATACAGAGGCAAACATCAGAATTGCATTGGAATGTTCAGCAAAAACCCTAAAAGTCAGGAAAGCTAGATTGACATACTTCAGGCTCTGCAAGTAAATAACTGCCAACCCAGACCACTATATCCAGCAAAGTGGTCCTTTTCAGTAGAAAAATAAAGAGCTTCCAAGATGAGCACAAACTAAAGCAATGCATGATTACTAAGCCAGCATTGCAGAAGACACTTAAAGGACTTATTCACACAGATGAGGAAGAAAGATGGTCACAAACACAAGAGACCAGTGATGAATGAATTTCTAGAGAGGAATGTATAAACAAATGAGAAGTAAAAGAATCAAACATACTCAACTCAGTAAACCAGCAAACTCCTAAAAGAACAAGTCAACCTGAAAAATAAAAAAACAGCACAATTACAGAAATCAGCAAAAACTTCTCAATGATAACCCTAAATGTAAATGGTCTAAGTCTCCAATTAAGAGATGCAGATTGGCTGATCAGATTAAAAAACAAGATTCAACAAGTTGTTGTCTCCAAGATAGACACCTCACTGGCAAGAACACACACACCCAAAGTGAAAGGATGAAAAATAATCTATTAAATACTAAGCAACTGGAAACCAAAAGAAAGCAGGATTGTCTGTGCTTGTATCTGGCAAAGAAAACTTTAAGCCCAAAAATCAGTCAGAAGAACTAAAGAGGTCCATTGTCGACTAATACAGGGATCAATCCATCAAGAAGATATAAAAAATTAAAACTGATCCATAATAAGCAATGAGCCTGAAGCTATAAAATAGAGGCTCTCAGCCGGGTGCTATGCTCATGACTGTAATACTAGTTACTTGGGAGACAAATCAGGAGGATTGCTGTTCCAGGTCCCATCCCAACCAATGAAAGCAGGGAGTGGTGGTGTGTGCCCATCATCCCAGCTACTGTGGGAAGCATAAATAGAGGATTATGGGCCAGCTCCACATGGGCATCACTGTGAAACCCTACTGGGGTGTGGCTCAAGTGGTAGAGTGCCTGCTTATCAAGTGCAAAGCTCTGAGTTCAAACCCCAGTCCCTCCGAAAAAGAAAAAAAATGTGTTGGTGAAGAAGGAGCAACTAGATCTCTCAGGACTTGCTGTTGGGGTTTAAAATGGTACAGTGACTTTGGCAATGATTTGGCAATTTCTAAGAAAGTGAAATGTGCACCTTCTCTATGTATCAAGATTTCCAGTGCTAGGTATATACCCTAGAGAAAAGACTTCACGCAGGTTTATTCCAAATAACCACAAACTAGGAACCACCCAAGTGTCCTTCCATAAGAGATGGACTAAACAAATATGCCCTGTTCCTGCACTGGAACCCCGCATGGCAATTAAAAGAATAAATGACTGATAAACACAACATGAATGAATCTCAAAACTTGTGCTGAGCAAATGAGTCAAACACCAAAGAACACCTACATAAGGGGAAGTCTCCAGTCAAAGACAGTTTAAAAATAAGAAAAACTAGTGGATGAACAGATCATGGTGAGTAGGGTTGGGAATTTAGCTCAGTAAAAGAGCCCTTGCCTGGCAAATGCAAGACCCTGAGACCTGCTTCCAGCACCAAAAGAAAAAAAAGTCAAATCATTGTGACTGGGAAGGGGTAAGAAGGAACTCTAGTATGTAGGAAGTATGCTACAGCTTATTTCATGGGTATAAACAATTGCCAAAATGATGTGGGCACATATTACTGAGCTATACTTGAATGTGCAATTTGCCACACATAAATCATGCTTCACATTTATGAAGAGAGGGAAGGAATTCCATGTAGAATCCCAAAACATGTGGAATTGAGATGCAACCTAGGAGCAACCCAGTCACAGGAACCTCCAGTGAGGAGAAACCCTGAGCCTGCCCGAGAGTTTGGCTGAGGGTCTGGGTTCCTAGTTCCCGCTCTTCACTCTGTTTCACTCTAATCTATCTAGGCAGGGAACTCAGTGCACAGTAACCCTGCCACCTCCCTCCCACCTCCTTAAGAAAAAATCAAAATCTCCTCATCCCAGGAAGTTAGCACAGTTAAGGAAACTCTGCAGGTCTGGATACATGGGGCTCCTTTAGAGGGGGCGGGGCTCCTGCAGTGCAGGCCGCCTTCCAGCTACCTCCTGCCTGCACTGTCTCTTCTTCCTCAGAACGCAGAACATTGCAAGAACCTTTCTTAGAAATGTGGTATCTATACACAATGGAATT